AGAGAGAGAGAGAGAGAGGAAGCCGCCTTATTTAGGTGATTGAGACCGATGGTTCCTCGGTGGATGCATAGGATCTTGTCGATCCACTCCTTATTGGCCTCGCAAGTATGATGTTGTCGTGTTGTTGGCGACGTCGATAGAATATGAGTTAGCTGTCGTTGGACAGCGAGGAAGGAAAGAGAAATCTTGCTTTAACACAAGTGCTCTAATAGCATGATAAAATAGAATGTGATTACGAAGCCCGATCAAGTTTATATAAGTTAGAGGAGATTTACTCGTCTAGCATCACGATGAGAAGGATTTTTCTCAACTAATTAGCGAGATTTACTTGTGCAGAAATCTTATATGCTATCATCATTCTCGTATTGGGTCTCTTAATATAGTTGTAAAGACATGACACATTAGGGCATTCGAGATGCCATATAATGACATTTGGGCATAGAAAGCAGTAATATGGTTTAGCAGGTTGATATCACTGTCAAAGACCTCCAATGATGGGAAATGGAAGTTGGCTAGGATCGGCTCCTCCTGGATGTCATTGGTGAACAACGATTGACCCAAGGTGGGGTTGGTCGACTCTTCCTCTATGGATTGTTAGAATTCTCATCACATTTCTTCTAAATGTTGTTCCATTTGTCATAGCTAGATTCTCAGGGAATCATTTGTCGAATCTATTGACTGAGTTTGAGATTCAGGTGGTACAAGATGGTGGTATGGTGGTACATTGAATCTCACAATTGGGGAATGAGGTGCTTGCTCAATTGACGGCTTGATGACCCTAAGGTGCTCTTGAGATATTGGCAGTGCATCAGGTGGAGGAACTCCGACGGGTGTTAGTGCTAGTGTTGATTGAGCTGTTGGCTATGGCTGAGGCGGCAACATCGCTTGTTGAGGCAATAGCCGAACAATAGTTTGCATCATACCCATTAGTACTTGCACCCCTTGGGTGAGGTTTATAAATGCCTTAGCAGGGATGAGTAGGTGACTTGAGGTCGCCCCTAGGTTGTTGAACAAATGCTAGTATTGCATTAACGTTTACGCCCAGGAAGATGCATCCACGCTTGAAAAGAGTGGCTACTGCTCCTCCTGAATGAAAGTATTATGGGTTGGGGGCAAAGCCTCTTTGCTCGAGCATTCGTTAAGAGGGTTAGTAGGCGGATGTTCTTATTACATTGAACTCTCTATCTAGCATAAAAAATGTTAGAAAAAAAAATACTATTGACGTCTTAGTCCACCTAATATTATTCGATCAAATGCACATGATTATTCGATGTGTCTTCAAGGTGAGAATTCTGAGCTCCCAAGAGACCACTTGTATGAAGATCGAGACCGGGAGAGATTTTTTCACATAGTCCCTCCGATGCTTAACCCGAGATATAAGAGTAGACATTAATAGTTTAAGAAAGCCACTTAGCTTTGTTTTATGTTTCTTTGTGCCTAGCACTAAGGCAACATTTTAAATGACAATGTATCCGAGAGAGAGAGAGAGAGAGAGAGAGAGAGAGTTCTGACCTATTGTTTATTTATCCGAATAGAGTTCATATATGACCTATTGTTTATATCAGAAGGCTCCACCGCTTCTGATATCTCCAAATACCAGTTACTGACCTTTAAATAAGTAGAAAGATATGACAGATCCTATCTTATCAAATCAACAGCCCATTCTCTGAACAATCGTAGGCGAATAATATTATTTTTATTAAAAAAATCCATGTGTGCTCCAAATACCAAAAGATAACAAGCAAGCAAGATTTGATATTGCTCGAAAAGATCTCCAACAATTGCATGTGAACACAATTCTCTTTTTGTTAAATAGCCAAATGTACCTCAAATACCAAGGATGATTAGCAAGGCATGACACAAGAAATAGACATCTTTCAAATAAATTCCGTTTTGGATTTGTCATTTTCCATTTCTTCAGTGACTGTTTCCCGAGATGTCGACAGTAGCAATTGTCATTACCACCATTAATCTCCATAAATCTTTACTGATGAGGTAACATCCAAGGCATATATATTCACCATAGCCGGTCTAGCATGATTGAGCAATGCCAAGGCCATTAGTTTGACCACGAAATCCATCTTCAGAAGAACAATAATTGTGCTTATTTGCCAGAGAGAATTGAATTGTTGCACTTGCCACTTTCATCGGTCCAAATACAAAAAAGCAACCATCTGCTTTTCAAAATAAGGAAATAAAAAAAATCATTAGACGAAGAATAATAGCAGAAGAACCAATTGAATTGAACAAATTGCTTCCTTGTGCAAAATGTAAATTTTAGAAGAACAGCGAAATAGGCTTCTTTTAAAACAAAATCTTGCACATGAATGAATCAGTAATGGTTGTTTGTATGGATTATGAAATAATTAATATGTTCTTATAAAAGGTTAATGTGGAAAGTTTCATGAAACTAGAAGCTAAAGGGGCTTTTTATGAGGGGAACAATTAGTTATTGTCCGATGAAAGTTACAATGCTACCAAGTGGCCACATTTCAAATTCATGATTATTTGTAGGAACTTCCTGATAGATATCTTGCAGTCCGACAAGGTGGAAATAAAAAAGGTGCTAGCGATAACACAAATAGAAAGAACTATCAACACGGTGTATTTCATGATGATTATCACAATCAGAAAGAACTATCAAGATTTAACTTGCTGTCAGAAAGATAAATATTATCAACCAGTACACTAACATTTTCATGTTTCAAACAGTATCAACCACCTGCCACTCTATCTGGGCAGGTGTAGGAAGTTGGATGTTTCCCTCTCTATTATCTGCTGAGAGCTGTATACTGCGAACGAAGCCTTGGAGATGTTCAGTAGAGTGCTCATTGAAGTTAATTCCATTGATGTGAAGCAGTTTATACTGAACAAGGAAATCCTTTGGAGCATTGCACAAAGAAGTATATATTGTGTTTTATTTTTTTTCTCCATTTTGGAGCATTTTGATGATATTTTTTTTACTTTCTATTTAACCTATGTCTATGGAGAAGCAAACAAGGCTGCAAATTGGGCAGCAAATTTTGCCGGGAGCCATGAGAGACTAAGATACACTGCTTATTCTCATGACTTTTACTAATTTTGAGGGCTGAACAGGAAGGCATTGTCATAACAGATGTATCTATCAGATGATATAGATTTATGGTTTTTGAACCAAAAGGAGAGAGAGAGAGAGAGAGAGAGAGAGAGAGAGAGATGGAGAGAGTATCAACTCTCAACTCCTCACTGGAATTAACATGCTAAAGATGATAAGGTAATCCATTAGTGAATCCTACTAGATGATTTCATTGGAAAATTAATGAAGCTGATAGACTGAATAAACACCAATAACCTTTACAAGAAGCTGGATATAATAAACTTGCTCAAAGCCTAAACTTTAGTTGCAAGATGTGCACGCAGAGGAAACTGTGTAAATTGTAGGTGAGAAGAGTATGATATTTTCTCGTACAATTAATCCACTAAACCCTTGTCATTGAACAGTCTATCAAATCAAGGAATTTAAGGAACATAAGAGGCTTTTATGTTGACACTAACGAGCTGTTGACAGATCAATAACAAGATAGGGATAAGCCTCTCATAAACATCAACTCTTTCTTTCACTAAATCTGTCAATCTTTGCAATTAAACTTCATTAGTAAACGAATTAAATCTAATATTGGAGAGAAAAAAAAAAAGGAAAGAGAGGAACCTGAGTCAACAAGCACACTGTTCTCAAGCAGGAGGAGAGAACAAAGATAACTCCTCCAACCTCCTCGAAGCCCGGTGATACTCTACTGTCGTTATCAACGATTCCATCCTCCTCAATATCTCCTGATTCCGAGACTCCATTCCGACCGCCGTGAGCTCCTCCTCCATCGACCGGAAATCCGCCAGCGCCGACCCCTCCGCCGCCTCCTCGTTCCCCGCGGCCGTCGCCTCCTCGTTCCCCGCCGCCGCCTCCGACATGCGAGCGGCCAGCGACTCATCCATCCGGCAAATCGAATTCGCTACGTGCCTCGACGGGCGCACCCTTCTCCTCCTCCCCCAGCGGGTTCCGATGGCGCCGCCGTCGCCGCGGCAGCGTAGCGCCTCACAGCACCGCCGTTCCCCCACGTTCCGCCGCGCCCAACGGACCCGATTCACAGGGCGGAGCCACCGGAGGCTGGCACGGGAGCCAGCGGCGTCCGCGTCCTCGAAGCGACGGTGCACGCCGATGAGGGTCTCGATGTCATCGTCGACGGTCCCGAGCATGTTGGCCGGCCCTGATACGACAGCTTGGCGTTACTTCTGTTTGCCCTCTCCGTCTCTCTCTCTCTCTCTCTCACTGTTTCTCCTCTAGAACTCGGATATCGCGTCAATATATATATATATATATATATATATATATATATATATAATTTGATATCGAATAGGGTTGTGAGACGGAGTGGGTTTTGGCTTGTGATTCTTTTTCTTTTCTGTTTATAATTTGCAGCGTGCGTTTCAGATATTACGACTGATACCTTTTATTATTGGCATTTTTTATATAGAGGAGAATTCTAAAATAAACGCCTTGGTTTTCCTTTTTTGACCAAAATCCTATCCTAGTCTTGTTTCCATCCCCGGAGTTCTCTATCTGTCTAATTTTGCATCCCCAACAACCAAGGGATGTTTGATTCTTCGAGTGAATCCCATGAAAAAGCCCACGATTTTTATACATGGCTTTTGATTTTTCCGCATCGCACTCCCTTTTATCTTTATTCTTGTATAATGATTTTTTTTTCTGAAATGACCAGAATACCATCTCGAATGGAGAAAAATGGCTCACGGCAATGAAACAATACACAGATGCAGTGTATCAGAGGTATGATCTATCTGATGATTGATGACACCACCTGCTCATCCTCATGTATGCAACCTGAGATGGGCCGGTCACTTTCAACCCTGGGGTGGTTTGCTGTTAAAAATCTAAGGTAGCTCGTTCACAAAAGCACAATTCATTTGTCCTGACATATTTAACGTTTCGATATCAGCGACTACTAAAAGAAACTTACAAGGACGGTGAGGTAAGGTACATCATAGATCATGAGATGACACTGTGATTTCGAGGACCCTTCAAACAGGAAAGAAGTTGGTCCATAAAGTCCCTAAACCAGCGATTACTGCACCAGCAAGAAGTGACAGACTACCTTCTTATCGGAGGCACCGGACCTCTGCCAGCGGGAGCACCAGCACGGCCAGCAGCTTGTGCCTGAAATGGAAGCCACCATATGTAATAAATACTCTGTTGTGGTTTCATGAAGCAGTTAATGGGAAAGCAATGCCTGGATTCCTAAAACGTTGCATTCATAAGCATGCACATGCGCAGCCATTACAGGATCAAGTAATTAAGGTTTCTTGCGATACAAACATGGATATAAAGGAGGTAATATGTCTTGGCACACAAATGCAATGGAAACGATATTATAAAAATCAATATGCACTTAACATGATAAAAGTCCCAAACAATTAAGAAATGAAATATCACAAATACGATGAAAGTCAATAGGAGTTAATACAGCTGAAACACAACGGAAATAACAAGAATAGCATAAAGAAAAAGAAGTGCAAGTCAGAGGCAAAGCAGGTAATCACAGTGTCACAGAGGTGGAAAAGCTGAGAAACAGGCAATGCCAGAGTAGGCTAAGAAAAAAAGGGAAAGAGATACATGGTGGCAACAAAAAACAATGAAGCAAAATTAGCGGTAAGCAAACGTGAAGTTTCAATAGACAGCAACAACAACTAGAGGTCGAGAATGGAGAACAGAAAGCAAAGATAATATTAACACTGATGACAAGAGATCAAACAGGCAACAATATTTTTAATAACACATGGGCAAGAGAGAGGCAGGAAGACAGGCTCAAGAACATATACTTCCCTCTTTGTTCTTGTGTTTGTTTTTTCATTATTAACACTGTCTTGTTCTCGTTCCAAATTATTTATTCTTCTCAAGAAAGCACATCTTATAAACACGTGATTAACCAATCAAGATTCTTGGTGTACCACTAATACATACAAATGATAGAAAATTAAATAAGAACAGACTAACAAAAGATCATATATGATAAATTACAACTACAGTTAGTAGGTTATTTTTCATGAACGGATGGTTAGATGATGATCGATGATACTCCAATAATAACTACTTCATAAGTTTATATATTTTTCTACCAGATAAGGCATTTTGTTGCTTTGTTAATGTTGCATTATAAGAATTCAGCATTCAAAATACCCTCTATTATTATCAGTCTTAAATTTATCCTCAAATGTAAAATGATGGCTTGTTGCAACCTACTTGATATTTTAGACATTAGAAAATGTGATGCAATTTACACTTTCTATGTGGTTAATCATGAAAAAAAAAATCTTTAGAATTATCATGCTTGATTGAGAACAGGCCTTGGTACAAGGTTGCCCCTTAGCATCTTGGAGCAATCTGGAGACTAGGGTTCGAGTCATACAAGTAGCCTCTCTATATTTAGAGGTAAGGCTGCATACATTGACGCTCGCTCTCCATACCCCGCATTAGTGGGAACCTCATATGCTAGTACACCCTTCAAAATTATTATGCTTCTTCACCTTTTAAATGAAAACAATGTTACAAACATCCTGCATTTACTAATAAAAAGGATGAGAACAGTGGAGAGCGACAGCACCATGTGAAAGTAGGCCAAATTGCACGTTACAAATTAGTCAAATCCAAAATGTTCTTTTCATCTTCTCACAGGTTGCTAAACTATCTACTAAAAAAATCCAAGAAAAAAATGTAACACTTACTATCCTAAAAGTGGCATTGATCATAGAATTTTCAAGATCATAAAAAATTATTGTGCCATGTTGTCACGGACAAAATTGTAAACAGGGTGTTCGATGTAATGCTGGTATATATCAGTGTCTTTCAATTTTGTTTATGCTTTGCACAACATGTAGATGGCTCACAATAGGTTTAGCAACCCCATTTTGGTTGACTTTTGTAGTCGTTTTAGGTTTGTAAACGCAAATTGTGTACAGCCATCGTGTAGAGGCAAAACTGCCCAAAAACAAACCATTTAGACAGCCATTTTGGGAGTTTTCTAGCTCCATAGAGTGGTGCAGAGTGTTAGCTAGCATAGCACCGAGGGTGGCACATGACTAGATAGGCCTTTTAGATAGTATCTAGAGTTGGTTCATTGTCTTGTTCCGTAGCAATATCATATGGGCACTTGTGGAGACTTCTGGTCACAACGAACCACCCTGGACCCTTTGTCGCACAACCGTTCAGAGCTTGTAAAGTCTATGTTTATAATTTGCATTGCCAATCAAGTGTTTACCGAAATGACTGCTTGTGGATCTTGAGTTAAAACGTTTTCTCTAACTCGTCTTCTCTTTTGTAGGTCCTTAAGAGACCACAACAGGTTTCGAGGAAGCTGACCCTTTGCGGACGAACACGAAAGGGTGTCGCACGGCTTAGGTACAACCAGCTAAGTCCATGAAAAATGGTATCAGAGCGGGACAAGCACACTTAGAAACACTGTGCATGCAAACGCGGTGGACCTAACAGGGCTACGTTGAGGGCAACCAGCATGCGTGACTGTTTGAGGAAAATGGGCATTGAGACATAGGGAACGAAGTCGCTCAGAGGAGCGAGCATCCGAGATTGGCATTCAAAGGAATGACTAACCCTTCCTGCAAGAGGCACCACGAGAACAAGCAGGGAAGAACGTGTAGCACACGTAAATTGAGATGGTTGAGTTCAAGCTATGACTTGACATTGGCAACCAAACTTGACGGTACTTAAGGCAAGCGAGACGCTTAACAAAGGATGAGACCGTGCAAGGTGGGATGGGTTGCTCAACGATTGAAAGAGTTGTACAAAGCTCGCAAAGGTGAGGAAAATTGCTAACTCAAAGAATTCGATACTCATGCGAGGGCTTATGTGCGGACGATGGACTGTCCATGGCTATCCAAAGGTGACCGAAACTTGGTGCCATGAAGCATTAAAATTTTATCTTCGGCATGGGAATGATACGTCCGTAAGAGGCTAAAATGTACAGTAAGTTCAACATGTTGCTAAGCCTTGAGGAGTATAGCGGGGGTTGTATTAGCAACGGGTCGTAATCTAGCAAGTGCGTTTGCGGGGACAAAACAATGTACAATTCGTTTAGCAAGGCAGAGTAGTCCAAAGAGATGGTGATATTTGAAACTTCCAAAGAGAAGGATGCAAAGAAAAACGTTGCTCTAACGGGACAGATATCCAAGAGGGATAAGTCCCGGTTCTCCAGAGGGAGAATTATGTGAACATACCGCACATGTTGAGGAGAGGTACCTCAAGACAATAACTCCACAAAACTCGACGAACCGAGAGAGCGACGAGGAGTCATCACATGATCTCGCACGAGATAATACGTTGGTGGATGCATTGCGAGATCAAGTGAGGGTGGGACCCAAGGCAACACCAAACATAGGTATGCTTGGAGTCGATATGGTGATCAAACTCAACGGAGGGCTAACTTGTAGAATGATGGACGCGAGACCACCATCAACTCAATGCAAATCAAGCAGTGATCCAAATCGCCAAAAGCGCTAAGCGCTCGCTCGAGCGAAGCGAGACGCTAAAATATAAAAATATAATATATAATTAATAAATATAATTATTTAAATAAAAATATGATAATTCAAAATTCAAAATAATAAATAAAGTTAGCAATATTAAAATTAAAATAATATATTATTAATCTAATAAATAAAAAATTATGTTAACAGTACATTGTTATTGTTAACAATATACTGAGTGAAGTGTGAGAAGAGAAGATACCGAGGCTATTGACTGAGAACGGAGGCTGCTGACTGAGAGCAGCAGCAGCGGTGAGCAATGACAGTGGCAGTGACAAGCAACGACAATGGCAGCGGAGATAGGCAAAGCGGAGAGCAACGACAGCGAAGCGTAGTGACAACGACAGTAGAAAAAAAAATATCGGTGGCGGGAGTCGGGTTAGGGTTGGGGAAGTCGCGAGGGGCAATAAAGAGAGGCTGATATCGGTGCTTTAGTTGGTTCGATTGAACCAACTAATGCAAATGCGATTGAACCAGACCTAACATGCTGGTTCGGTCGCCTGATTTAACCTGGGCACTCGCTCGAGCCCAGAATCGATCGCCTGATTTAACTTGGGCGCTCTCCCGAAGCGCCCGGTGTCTGGGCTCAAGCGAGCGCCCAGGCAGCGCCTCTTTGAAGCGTGCCACCTGGATAGTAAACGAGGCGCTCGGGCCTCGCCTCACCTCGCCCGAGCACCTTTTGAAATCACTGTCAAGGAGCAGAGCAACTTGGGTGATATTTGGTGAAGTGCCCAAGCCACATGAAGGGAGTCAATATAGAAGACGAAAAATGGAGCGGAGGCACAAAGCTTTCCTTGGACAGAGGTCAAGGACATAAACTCTTGCAAAGGCAAGAGCGAAGCTCATATCATTCCATGGGTCTCTCGTTCTGATGGAGCGGACTCATCTAGCATGGTGCCAAAATTGAAGAGAGCTTGAGGCACATGCACCTTATCTCGACGAAACATTTGAGTGAAGAACTAAGGCGACTCAACTTGCGAAGGCGTAGTTGGGGTCAAAAGGTCTTTGTACGAGACAAGAGGACGAAGAGACGGGTACTCTTGAAGAATATGTTGCAATGTTACCATTCGAGTTACAACGAAGGAAGCGATGCATAGCGAAGATTGTGCTGGGGAGTAGAGGCCCAGGATCCAAATAAAGTGTACCAATTTCAACGAAGTCAATAGACTTCTAGAGCTTCTTGGTGACAAACTATCCTAGAGCTATGCTTTTCAGGGTGTGACCCGAGTGCGGGTGGACGAAAATTGATTGCCAAAGGAGCGAACACAATCAGAGATGGTGAAAGCCCTACGATATATTGGCAGAGGCTACACATGGAGAGATCATAGTCCGAGTTCATTCCATAAAGATCATAATGCAATAGAGATATCAAGAGGAGGCAACATAGTGCAACAGATTGTGGTGGAATAGTTTGAGGAAATGCAGCACACCTAAGACAAGTCCTACGAGGGACTTGATCATACGAAGTATGATCGAGAGCTATTGGAAGCTCCACTTTGGTGAACAACACGACGACAAGAAGCACTATGAATTTAAGGAGTGAATGCCATGATATCGTAGATGTGGGTCTTCCGGGCATATATCGAATTTCACATCGGATGAAAGCCTTGGTCATTAGCATATGGAGGTTGTATACCACTAAGGAAGAATTCCAACTAGAGAGTCCCATGGGTGGAGCTTAATTATATGGAGGTATGATCGAAGCAACTAGAGAGCTCCAGAGCTCATATTTGCTTAAGAGAGCCTAACAAGTTAGAGGACAAGGTCGAGTAAGAAAATATTACTCTACCAAAAAAAAGCAAAGGAGAACAGAATCGACGTGAACCGTGCAACATGATGGCGGAGGTCATGCATGGAAGTTGCAATCTGTCTTTCCATCGACCAAGAGGAACTTCTCGGAGACCACAAAGGTGTTGAAGCATGTGATTGAAAGGGACGAGGAAACGACGATAGATCCAAAGGGGCTTAGCTACCCAAAACCAAGTGTCGATTAGAATAGAGGTGGACTCGAAGGAGTGCCACAGTGATGTCGAAGTAGATCTATCGATCACGAAGGGACACAAATGCGAGACAACGAAAAATAGGGCCATGGGTATGGCAACGCCATGGTACCACAAATATGAGACTTTCATGGAGTCATCGATCCCTTGCTCATATGGAGGGAGAGCGCTTGGTCGTGAAAGGGACCGAGGATGTGAAGAATGCAAAGGCAAACTCCAAGAACGAAGACAAGACTGAAGGGCAGAGGCCAGGGAACTTCGTAATACCAGTGTCAACGGGCTTCTCATCAAAATATCCAAAAGTAAAGGATTTTGGGTCAATACAAAAGTGCTCAACCAAGGAACGAAATAAGTAATACGTGGTATTGTATATTTTCTACTCAGAGGAGTATGCGACAAAAATGATGAAGATGATGCAATCCTAGAGGCGACCAAAACTATTGAAGACTTGCTCCAAGTTAAGACAAACTTTTGCTCTTTTCGAGCAAAACTTTTTGCATTTCAAAAGTTCGATAACAACGAGAAGGCGAACCATAGTAGCTAACTCAACATAAGGAGTGCAAACACTTTAGGTGCTTCGGAAGTGTGAGCAAAAAGCAGGCAAAGGCTAGTAACCAGCTCGATGCATGGAGTACAACTCTCGATGAGGCAGACGAAATCAATTAACCTTTATATTCTCAATCCTTAAGAGAATGAGTGAAACCGAGTACCCCAGTTTTCTTATTTATCCAACATAAGAGCTCTACACGTGTTCAAAGACCCTTCAAAGAAAGTGAAAGACAACAGTTATCAAATCCTCACCAATGGTGATCGATGCTATCAAAGTTGACTGTCCGCTTCATTTCCCAACAGAACACCAATCGAAAGTGGAAGTGGTGCGAACCTACTTGGAAACGACAACTAAGTGGAAGAGGAATCAATGGGCAAATTTTGTGAAATAAATATATAAAAAAATTTAAAATCTGTGAGGTGATGCTCGTTAAAGCTCCAATAAGCATCCACCAAGTTTAAGCAGCATGAGACGTTTAAGAGACTAGCGCATAACAAGGACGATGTTTTCCTTTATCTGAAGCATCCATAAAAACCAACGAAGATTAGCATAACTCAACTGACCCTATATTAAAGTCAGAGTCATTGGCGAGTTGAAGTAGCATGGCGGATCAAAATTTGACTACTCAACAACAACGACAAAGAGCAGTTGGGAGCCAAGAGGCACATTACAATTGGAGCAGAAGATTGAAGATTCAGTAAAGGCACGAAGATGCAACATCAGCAAAGGCTTCGACGAGGACATCAAAGGAATAAATGGAGAAGAATGTCACAAAGCTATAAATAGGATGTTCGATGTAATGCTCATATATGTTCGCGGCTTTCGATTTTGTTTATGCTATGCATAGCATGTAGAGGGCTTACGATAGGTTTGACAACCCCATTTTGGTTGGCTTTTGTGGTCATTTCAGGTTTGTAAATGCAAGTTGTGTACAATCATCGCGCAAAGGCAAAACTACCTAGAAACAAGCCATTCATACAACTATTTTGAGAGTTTTCTAGCTCCGCAAAGTGGTACGAAGTGCTAACCAACATAGCACCCAGAAGCTACCCGAGTGGCACATGGTTGGATAGGCCTTTAGGGTAGTGTGTAGGGCTGATTTGCTGCCTTGTTCCGCAGTAGTGTCATGTGAGCACTTGTGGAGACTTTTGACGACGACGAACCACCTTGGACCCTTTATCGCATGACCGTTCAGAGCTTGAGAAGTCTATGTTTGTAATTTGTATTGTCTATCAAGTGTTTGCCGAAATGACTGCTTGTGGATCCTGAGTTAAATGCTTTTCTAACCCATCTTCTCTTTTGTAAATCCTTAAGGGACCATAAGAGATTTTATGAAGGCTGATCCTTTACAGACGAACACATAAGAATGTCGTACCACTTAAGCAAAACCAGCTAAGTCCGTGACAATGTGACAATATTATATTAACTCGATATGTAAGCCATCTTACCCTGTAGTATGATGATATGCTAGACCAAGCTAGTCACATGCCATGTAATGTTCCAAGTCTCAACCAATATAATTTGCTAGTACGTTGCAGGCATAGTGCAACACGGTTTGCAATCATAATTGTGGAAGTTATGAAAAGTTTATTTCAGTCATGCTTATATTCTTGAGTCAAGGGTCTAATTGCAAAAATTTATATTTTTAATGTATACATCTATATATTAGAAGAAAAAAAAAATCAAAAAGGCAGGTACTTGTTTCCTAACTGATTGTATTTATGTTATCTGTCCTATAGCCAACCTCTATAAAAGGATGGCTATCAATGCTAAGAGAAAAAAGAACTCCTCTAGTGCAAGTAAATCTAGCCTTTTCTCTTCAAATATTTCATCCTACTTCTATCCTTTGACTTTCCCTCAAAAGTATTCAACCTCTCGAGCTCTTCAAATCCTTATATATGTTCTTAAGTTTCGTGTTGCTTCTAACCTCTGTCTTCGTGGTTATGCTTTCCTCATCCTTCACTCCCTTCAATTTTGGTCTTTTTTTATTGCATCAATGTCGAATATCAGTTACAGGAAGGGTCAAGGTTAAGTCCAGGTAATCAGATTTAGGTGACAACTATAAGGAACTAGCAGATGCTTTAAATCCTTGCTTTTATCACACCAGCCAACATTCATAGCTTATCAAGGGGTCTATCAGTTCAACAAAGAAAATAGAGGAATTGGTTAGATGCAGTAAGTGCCGAATAGCTCAACATGAGCAGAAAATTTAAAGGTAGCATGGACAAGCAGATTAACTAATAAAAACAACAATTATTCGAATGACAGTATGCAAAACAATACAGGAACAAAGATCCTGAACAGTAAAGACCAAAACTTAGCTAGCCAGCAGGATGGATAAATTATCTCACTCCAGTTCTATATGGACTCATACAAGTGTACAAACTATTCTACAATATGCTAGAAGATCTCTTTGCAGGATACTCACCCGAGCTCGCATAGCAACAGCACGACCGCGACCAACTCCAAGAGACGATCCCTTGCCCTTCACGAATCCAGCATTTTAATTAAGAAACAGAAGGGAAAAAACAAGTGCATACTGTTCGGCAACAAGAGTAAAAGAAGTTTATCTTACTCTGATTCTCGCATCCAAACGCTTAAACATTGGAGCATTTTTCAGCATATCAGGGATCACCATAAACCTGCAATGACAACCAATATTTTGTTGGTGCCAAGGAAACTGCACACAATGGACACACGGCATACAATAACAAACCTGGAACCATCAGTTTACCTGACTTTGCTGCCTCGGATGAAAACATGCTCCAGTTGTGACACTTTCCCATCCTAATCAAGAAGAAAATAACACAACCAAATAAGATACAAAGAATAAATCGACTGCTACCAGGTGTCGTTGGTAGACCAAAACCCTAATTTTCATTGGGTGAAAACGAAGAGGAGGGGGAAGGGAAACAGGGGAAGAAGCGGATGACCTTGGCGGTGTAGGTGATGTTCTCAAGCTGGCAGTTCCAGTTGTCCTCGCACTCGATCATAGAGCCACGGTAAAGCTCGCCGCTCTTGAGCTCCACCGTCACCACGTGTCCCGCCGCCTCATGCAGCAGCTTCACCGGGATTCCCAGGCTCCGGCTCATCTTCCCCTCTCCCTCCTCTCTCTCCGGCTTTCGCTTCTCTCCTCTCTCTCTCTACCTCTCCCTCTGCTCTGTCTCTCACCTCACTCGAACTCTCTCGTGCACGTCCCACCTAAACCCTAACCCAAAATGCCGGAGCTACTGGGCTACGCAACCGGGTTGGCCATAAAAGGCCTTTTTGGGCCTAACCCATTAACTTATTACTCTAAATTCTTTATTACTTTTGGAGATTTCTATTGATAATTTTATTTTTTTCTATTTTACAATAAGCATACTATTCATAAGCCCCCTCGTCGCTACGGACAATCTCCTTAAAAAAATAATAAAAATATTATTTTATTATTTACTTTATACAATCATCTAAAAATTAATAAAATCTTCAACTTATGTTTAATTTTAACAAACTGTATCAACTCCTTCCATACAAATATTTTTCTTCCCATTATTTATTTATTTATTTATTTTTCTCCTCTTAATCCTCGAAGCATCTTTTATCATTGATACAAAATAACAAAAAAAGATAGATAATCAATCAAAGGTGAAAAATATTTTTTTTACGTTTGTTAGATCTATTTAATATTTTAGGATTTAGAATATCAGATTACAAATCTGAAATATGATATTCCATGTGTTTTTGTAGTAGCTTTCGGATGGATATCATATTTTGTACTTTTACATAAATGGATTTACGAAGTTATAGTGATTGAGGGGTGTTAAGAAATAAGAATATGATTGATAATTAGATATTATATATTAGTAAAATTATATTTTATTATTATTTTAGATGACTGTATGGAGTAAAAAATTACTCATAGCTAAAAAAAAAAGGCTTGAATTCGTGTAAGAGTATCTTATATGCAGTTTAATATAACACTTGCAGAAGAATATTTGGTCTAGAAAAAGATCGATAGCCAATATGTTTAATTTTACATAAAATTGAGAGTAAGTATCAAACATCCGTTTGTTTTGCTACAATGCATAACACCAAAATCGACATTATTTGCGAAGAGGCAACTCATCAACCAACTCTGATATGGATCTCCAAATTGGCATTGTAAAGTTTTTGGAATGATAAGTCGACCAGGGTGACGTTTCTCTGTGTCTGTGGAAGGGAAGGGAAGGGGGGGGGAAAAGGAAATGCAACTCACCATCAGGAATATCCATATCACTGCACTGAAGACAACCAAAGACCACAAACTCTTTAAGACAACACCTGTGACAAGAAGATGAAGAAAATACTGATATCCTAGTTTGATCTTTAACCTATAGAACCCACCTGGAAAGAGCTAACACTATAAGAATCCAAGAAACAAAAAACATAAATAAAATTATTTCGTAATAGTCAGAATATTAATTCTCTCATGCTTCAAACAGAAAATTTTCACATAACGCTACAAGTTTATTTACAGTGGTTTGAACAACTACATACATTCTAAACAGGAAAACTGCACTTCTTTACCAGCAATTGCTAAGATAATAGTGTTCGGATTCTCAAAAGGAAACTTACACATGTAGTAGTCCTATTTATTAGCCTCTTATGATTCTCTATGATTTTGCTCACAGCTGTTTCTAGAATGTGTTTGGTGTTTTCCCCTGTGTAAGCATGTTAGGTTATATGTACCTTTTAAGAAGAACACTTCCTATACAATAGCTTGTTAGTTTATCCTTCACCAAACTCTTCCTAAGTCCAGAAAAAATTCAAGGATTTATTGCTGTTGCATGACTAGAGCAATAACCAACAAGATTGACCTTCTGCCCACCCTAACTAGCCTTACATGTTTTGAGGTAATTCCTTTTTAACAGATACAAAGAAGACAAATAACCAGCATTGGCTGCAAGCTGAACTTAATACTCCAAATTCCAAACTATTATTAACCACATGCGAACAATATAACATAACCGGAAATTCGACCACCCCCAGAAAGATGCTAGAAATCATTCAACAAAATCAAAAAGTCATTGACTCATGCCCATGCTCATCTCATTAAATATAAACTGTAGGTGACCACCATATGTTTTGAGATGTTTCTGACAAGGCAAGCAAAAGCTAAACAGTGCAATTTAGGTGGTCATTATAATTGAGATACTACTGATCAGTAAAAGGTAATGGATATATAGTACAACTTTGTTAACAAGATGAGTTTAGGAACTTTTGACGTTGCAAAATTAATATAAGACAAACTAAACAAGTCCAGATAAACAATAGTGAGACAGTACTTTTTTGTTAACGAGATGAAATTGAGTCAGACTAAAATAGTGAGACCCAAATGGCTACCCACGTTATACCCTACAATGAAGAATGCCGACTTGATGGGAAATTTCAAATTGTTCAGTGGACATTTCAAAAAACAAACAGGTTCTTCGCTTCTGTATCAATTGTACAAACGACAGGTGCTTCTGTATCCGTTGTAAAGAAACAGAAAACTGTGCCTTGATTAATTCATTACCTTGATACATCAAACACTCATGGAATAACATCTTATTATAGACTGAGAACTTCTATCTGATCCAAATAATTACCTACTTGACAACATGCACTTATGAGTTTCACAATTTCAAGCATTTCTATCAAAATCATAATTATTCATGACGTAATAATTCTTTCACAAGGACATAAAAATCAGAATGGTCCAACCCTATGATCCATGAGAAGATAAATACATATAGTGCACCTAGAAAGAAGTTATGTTTGGTGTAATGAGCAAGTCTGATGTTGGGAGAGAGCAATTCCTAGTTGACCCATAAAAATTATAATCAGAGTTTAATAAGTATCCTACATGATGCCAAAGATTAAACATTGCATCAATGGATGTTGTCTTAGTATCACATAATTAACAGGTATAAGCCACATGTCTACTTCACATTTAGAAAAATTAAATTAAAAAATTAACAAGTACCAATGAACCACATCCAGTTAAAAGGGATCCAATCAATAAACCGAGCAAAGCTCTACTTATTTAAGGAACCTCAGCTGGACTCAAAACTCAGAGTTGAGCTCAAAAATGTGTTCAAGTAGTGCTGAGTAATTTAACATAACGAGCAATTTCCATCATGGAAAACATGAATACCACACTGGGTAGCACATTATTGTAACATGCTAGTTTAAGCAATGATAAATCAACTAAGAGTATTTGATGCTATAAAACAATTAATGTTTATTTAAACTACCGTTTGAGCCATCACTCCTTTAGTCCTGGTAGAATAATTGTCAAGCTTTTCAGAGTTTTTCCTTCTGTGGTGTGAAAAAATGAGGGAAAGCAAGATGTACAATGTTTTCATTGAAAAAGGGACAACCAGTGAATGGGACTTCCACTAATGCAGAGTCTGTGAAGGGCCCATGTACACAATCTTGTTCGCAGTGATAGAGATTATCTTTATGACTAAAGCTATGCCCATTGTGGTGTGAGGAACATGCATTTTTCCTCAAAACAATCTTAACTCGTGCACATCCAATGCAAATCTTAACATTAATAAATATTAGCAATCTTAAACAAAGAAGCATTCAGAGACTGGTATTTGTCTTCTCACCAATATATCATCTATCATTATAGCCTTAAATTCAATTTAATTCAACCACTTCATCAGAAATTGCAATTATTATAGAATATGCAAGAGTCCCTTATTGACCACCTGGCACCTGGTCAATAAGGGATCCCAAATCTTCAACAAAAAAAAAACCTGCCGGCTAGACCCTTGGACTAAATTTAACCTAATTCTTTTAGGAGTAAGCAGTCTAAGGATATGGTGAACCAGATAAGACAAAATGCAAAACATAAACTTATTGCACAACATTTTCTTAATCTTCTTTTTCTCTGCAGACATCAGCTGATTAGATTTTATTACATCAGATAATTGGATGAATTCAGTTATATCAGTTTCTCCTTTTGGGATTAAATTAGGCTTGATCTGGTTATTCACATAAACTTGGATGGACTTCAGCCTTAGCTTACTCTTGTCTCAGTTTCACATGTATAACATCTACTCTAAGTGCTTCTGGCTAACAAAATCATGATGCACAAGGTGATTTAATGACTTCATATCTGAGTAGTTTTTCTTTTCTGAATTCGAGCTCTTTCTTGTTCTAGAGCCTCCCTTTTACGGGGTGGACTGCCAACATATCACTATCAGGATGAATCCTAAAAGAAATCATGTTGGTTCTCCAATAAGAACATCATGATAAAGTCTCACGTTATGACAACAATTTTGAATGCCTGCAATATCAGTAGTTTGGTTCTATAGGCTAAAAAATTTATTGTCTAATGACATCACCAATATTAGAAGCATCATTAAACTATAATAAAAGCTAAAATTCCATTGCATAAGAATAGCATGGCAATCAATATGCACATCAACATATATCTGAAGAGACATAATCTGGTCTCATACATCCCACTAACGATATTGTAAAGGCATAAATGAAAAACATTATAACAAATTATCATACAGAATAAAGTATTAGATAAATCAAATATCATGTCTTACACCGACATAAATGAGAGAAATACAAGATCAAGTCTAAAATCTCATAGACTTCAAACTTAATCCCAACAAATACATCACAAATCACCAAGATGGATAAAGCAGTAAGTTCATAGAGATGATTTATTCAATGACCCATCAGTGGATAATATAAATAAATCCAACCTAGAAAATTGACAAATAGAATAACAACTGGACCACTGTGTACAATCTAAAAGCCATCACTGACCTCCACTAGGAAGCATAGTGTGGCACTCGTGCAGCCATGCTTGTAACCTGGGCCTGCACAAGTGTAGCACGAACCTTGGCTGCCAACGCCCGGTGGAAGAACTGCTCCCTTGACAATGCCCTTATGTTTTTCAGATACGAGTCAAATGGTATTGCTCCCTCTTGCACAGCTTTGTCCAGTGCATAGATGGTGTCCTCAGTTGCCAGGTCGGCTGCCGTGCACTCTTGCATCTGCCTCGACAAGGCATCAACTGGCTCAAAGACATCATCCACATCAACCCCATCATGGCACCGCCGACACAGCCCCTCATTCTCTCTCGCCCACCCCTCAAGCAAATCCGTGTTCATGAGGACGAGTTGCAGCTGCTGCTCAAGGCCCTCCTTCTCCTCGACCATCTCACGGAGCCCGTGGGTAAGTTCCTCTTCACGCCGCCGTAGCTCGGCCTGGGTGGAGAAGAGGCCCTCCATCTCAGCCTCCTGAGCACGGCGCATTGCACCCATGTCCGTATGGACGGCATCCAAGATCTTGGCAACAGCGTTGCGGCGGAAGACCTCGGCGGGGTCCTCGGTGGGCCGCAAGTGTGGATAGGCCTGTGACGACGGGGGCGGGGGGAATCGTGAAGGGCTACCAACGCCAACGCCATACGGGGATGAGAAGGAGGAGGAGGGCAAGGGAGAAGGGGAGGGAGAGAGGGAGGGGGAAGGAGAAGTTGTAGCGTGGTTGGGGCGGGTGTACAGGGGGGGATCGAGGCCGAAGAGGTGAGAGAGCGATCGGACGAGGTCAACGAGGTTGGAGGCGGGGAAGACCCACGAGCGGAGGTACGGGGCGGCATCCTCGCGGACGAGCCCGGATGGATCAACGAGGGGGTGACCAGGCTTCACGAGCATGTCGCGGGTGGGGGTGAGGTAGACGGCAGGGGGGCGTCGGGGGTAGGACTCGAGGAGCCAAACGGAGGCCGGGAGGTGGTACACGGCGCCGCGGAAGGAGATCGGGATGGTTCCCTCCGCCTGAAGGAGATGGGCGGAACGGCCGTCGTTATGGGTGAAGGTGGCTGTGCGAGGGCGGAGGGAGGAGAAGGCCTCCGCCAGCGCCACCAGGTGCTGCCGTATATGCCACTTCACGTCCTCCGAGTAGGGCAGCGCCGCCGGGCCCCGCTGCGACAGGGCCGTCGTCAGGAACTGCTGCACGTGCTGGGCGGCCGCCGTCGCCGACGGAGGAGGATGAGGGGCCATCGCCAACGGGGTACTTCAGCCGATCGCGCCCTTTTCTTTTTCTTCCTTGGGAGGCGAGGGTTTCTCACGTTGGGTCGGTCGGTCGTCAATCGACAATTCCACCCACGCTTGTTTCCTTTATTACTCCGGGAATTAGCGGATCGGATTGAAATAGTATCGGAATCCGAATCCTATCATAATTCCAACGTTGTTTTAAGATAGGCTGGCAATTGATCCAAGCCGTTCATCAACAACCCCTGTGCACTCGGTCCAGGCTTTACCAACTGAATTTGTGCCTGAATAATCTAAAGGGCAAATTCGAAAAAACAAACTAAAGTTTCTTTTTTTCCCCTTAAAACATCTTCAACTTTACTTTAATACCATATAATATCCTTTCTTTAAAAAAAATAAAATTAATTATAACCTCTATCTAGTCGATCATCACCTTTATCACTCGTTATATACGACCCATCAACTTTATACCTTCATTGTCCTTATCATCATCATACAACCCGTAAAGACCTCATTGCTACCGCCATCCCTAAGGCGTTGTCGTAGAGCACTCTCACCTCACCCTTCTTTTACTCCCAACACCGACTTTGTGATCGTAAGAAAAGAAGATAAGAGAAGAAAAGAAGATAATGTAAAATAAATTTGGATGTAAAATATCCTTCCATAGATAATGTCTCTGCAGACTTTAGATCCAGCATTATTGCATGTCTCAAATTCATTTGCACTCGACCAGAATGAATGAAGAAAAGACCTGAAATGATCTGTCCTCAGTTCTTCAAGGATCCAAATCATGAAACCTCCCTAGTTCTCTTCTTCTTCAAAAGTTAAGATAGACTATGCATTAGACTTTCAAATGCCTGCACATTGAAGTCAGACCTTGATTAATTCCAGTCAAAAGACTAGACAAATAATATATTCTATACTTGTCAATAAGATACACTAGAACTTTTTTTGAGTTGAGCTAACTTTGATGACATTGTTGCAACAAAAGAATTCAAGTAAAAGAATTGTTAACATTAATGTAACTCCTATTCCATATGAGATGCAGATCTAAAATCATTGTTTCTGTGCGCCGAAACTTCAATATGCCAAACAAATATGGAGACATCTCAGCCGCTACCAAGTGTACACACAACAACATGCCATGTAAATGTATTATTACCTCTGAGGTTTGGGATTGGCTACCATGGAATGTTACAAGTTCAGGAGCACCGAAGATTCTTTCCATGTCAAAGAAAACTTCAATATTGTGAATGCTATAGCCAACTACCATTAGCCAAAAAAGCAGATTGGCAAGTTCAGGAGCACTTGTTTCAGTCACCGAAGTCTGAGGAAGGGAAAATGGCCGAAATTGAAAATGGCTGCAATTGAAAATCTTGTCCCAACATCTCTAACAAATTAAGAACCTGTGCAATCTTTTCATATTTGCAGCAATATGAAACTTTTAACTCTTTTGCAAATTTAATTATGATAATACCCAAGAAAAGATAACAAAGAACATCCATTCAAGAAACCATGCCTCTCTCCAGCAGCACTTGCTCCAGGATTGACTACTAGTATGGTAAAATCCCACAAGGGCATATTACTAAAAATTTTCTGTTGCCTATATCCCTGCAGTCTGATCAATATGTCTACATAAGGATACATAAACATGGGTTCTGTAGAGTGCAGGACATCTAAGGAAAAAGAAAGAAAAAAAAAATCCTCTTCTTCCCCTTTAGCAGTAACTGTTCAACTGAGGTCATTATCTACTTATCTCCAACCTAAACATCTGATCTCATCCACTCTACAATATAGCTATGGTATATGTTAGACTATCTACTTTCTTATTTAGAGTAATATTTAGAAAGTTATAGTCTTATAACAGGGATGCTGAGATTAAATTTTTTACCCTTCAACTTCTATGATGGTATATGCCTGTTAAGTTTTTTTCTATTTAGAATTTTACGAGGCAAGGGATGAGAATCTATGAATAAAGACTACTATAAAGCTCTAAATCCATCAGATCAGATCAAATCAAATGATAACAAAGATTATAAATACTATCTCCTTTCAAATTTATAATCCTCATCTCTCATCTCTATTCTCTAACCCCTCGCTTGTTCTTCTCCTCTGTTCTCTCTCATATCTCTCATTAAAAGTATTCATCTTTCCATGACAAAAAAAGACATCAAATCCTATCATTTGGCCAAATTATAAAGCAGTCAAGTGCCAAAAATGTCAACAGAAAAACAGTTATAACAATAGTTGCAGGAAGGCTTTTACATATGAGAACAAGATTAGTAGGAGAAAGTGTGTCCCTAATATCTATGCTCCTCATTCCCTTACAGAATACAATATTAATGAAATATCCTAAAGGTCTAGACGGTTGCACATAGTTTCACTAGACCCAACAGAGATGCAGATCATAATCTCCAGCTTAACCACTATCATTAACTTAATTATTTCAATGTGGTCGTTAAAGAAATTAACCAATTTTAGATACAATGATAGTACACCTTTCACTTTTCCCCCAATCCTTACTACTGGATATGTAAGTTGATATTATGGATGTAGCTGCTTTTTAATTAAAAAGAATTCTATATCTCCCTACTATTAGAAAAACATATAATATCAGAGGTCAACAACAACCACCTTCACATTTTGTGAAGAGGAAAGGACACCTTGAGTCAAAAATACATTTTCTTGACATTTCCAACAGAAAAAAAAAAAGCACACCTCGACACTAATGTTCATGTGTTTCATTTTCTAATTTTAAATACTTCAGTCATCAACATGATACATATATAAGAAGGCTGCAAGCACAAAAGGTGGATAGGTAATCACCAATCAAAGTTAAACTTTCTTCAATGAAAATGGCAATTATCCCGCCCCTTTGGTCTAGTAGGCATCACAGTAGCTGCCCAACCCAACAACAATACACCAAGCACACTTAATGTCACTTATGATACATATGATTCTTGAGAAATACGGATGCAAAATTCTTAATTAAAGTCAAATCTTCATTGTAGCAATTAGATCCATTAGTTGCACATTATGCAATTTTGAAGTAGACAAAATTAGTAGCATCAAGAAGGTAGTCCTACCTTGGGTTCATAGTTTCATTAAATATGAATGTCGACTTGTATCATTTAGGTTTTGCATAACAAAATTGTTAAGTTACATTGAAGCAGAGAACCTCAATGATGTTTTCCCCTTTAACCAACATAGCCAACGTCATTCATTTGGCATCCTTCTTAAGAACATCAATTCTGCCAGAACCTATAGGCATTCTAGGAATCATAGAAAATATAAACAGTAATTGATTTCTATATCATACATTTAAGAATCATGTTCATTCTAAAAGTGCTTCGAAGAATTGAAAGCAATTAAACCTGACAACACCTTTTAAAGTCTGTCTCTCATGGCTCGTCACAAAAAATAGTACTTTATAATAATTTTGGGAAGTCGTGTCAATAAAATAAGATGGCATATCTGAAAATAACAAGGTGGTTTCTGGATCATACTTGTTAGTTTGTGAACCTTCCACTAAGCAATCTTCAAGAAAGTTGCTGAAAATTTCTATGGTGTTCACACTTCATCTCAATCTAAAATAGATAGGCTAACTAGAAACAAATGATCAATGCTTCATGTTGTAATATTCAGAAAGGTTCAACATGAGTTTTACTTGGACCAGGACAAGGACAGCATTACTGTATGAATGAAGTTGGTGCAATGTTTAACAAGACAAGGGAGCATCCAAAGAGGTAGCACCTTTATAAGATAGCTACATTGAAATTCGAAGGCCAAAGAACAAATTTAAAAAAAAACACCATGATAGTTAGTATTCACTAAGACAAATTGTTCATTTCCAACTAAAGTTGATTTTCTCAAGTTAAATTACCATTAATTGCTCATATTGTAATTAAATGTATTATGTAATCGTTCATCACTATCATGGTTAGTAAGCAAGAAGCAGGCAAACATGCTTGTTTCTTCTAAGCACATATGACAATGGCCTTAATCCATCAAGGTGAAACAGGATTTGTAAAGCAGACAGAAGAAAGTGAGCTTCAAACGCCTTAAAAGAGAAGTTATGTCCAGATTTTATAGACAAGTGTCTTCAACTACTATATCATTTTTTTCATTGATGCATCTACATGACACCTAGGTATATTGCTGGGCAGAGCTACACCATAATTTATGACACATCTTAAGGTAATTACAAGCCAAAGTTAAGCTAGCTCATCTTCTGGAGTCCAGACCAAAAATATTATACGACATAAAAATAGAAAAGATAGGCACTAAGATCCAAAATAGAACTCTGCTCCATGTAACTCTTATCATTAATTTATGAACGCTAAAAGTACAGTCTTCATTAGGAAAAAAAGGTACCTTGATAAGATGCTTTTATGTAAGTTCACAAGCCCAATAAACTAAGTAATGAAAGATGAACTACCTTTAAATTCTAGGGCTCTAGGGTCTTTAGATATTCCAAAAGTTCATTATGTCCATTTAACGACTTCCTTGCTACTTGGTGATTCAGTTCCTCGATTTCTGCTTCAAGATATTCTATGTATTTCACTGCATCCATTTTTTCAGGGCCAGTGATCTTGTTCCACCTAATAACTTCTCCAGCCACCTTTTTCTGTGTCCCAAGTGCAAAATCTGGAACCTCCTACACCATTCACGAGGCAAATTATACAACATTTACAATCAAATGATCCTGTAAAAGAAAATAAACCTGGGCAGTAGATAGGAGATTAGGAATTGATCTGAACAATATAAACTTTTGAAAACACAATTCTCCATTTGCTACAACCATATCCCCTTTTTTCTTTCCAATTGCAGCCATTCTTCGAACAGCCGTTTATGGAAATTTACTAACAAAGCTATTTATGCCTCAATTGTCCAGTATCATATAACTTGTGACTAAATGTTTCCTATTTAATTTGTAATTCTGCATCAACTACCACATAATTTAAAACACAAAAACAGAAAATTGCTTGCTTGAGGTCCAACCATCATCTGCAACTAGTTTGCAAAACAATAGCCCACAAGCAAACTAGCTATTACTTTTCTTGAAAAAAGCTTGATAAGCAAAGTGGTTATTTGTAGTAAATCACGTCAGATAGAAATTTTAAAGTACCCTCACTACCATGTTCCTTTTACCATTAATATCAACATGAGCATCTAAGTTGCAATATGATGATAGTTAGATAAAACTGATTACAGAAATAAGTCAAGAGTGTCACATCTCATATGGACAGATAAAATTGTTTGTTTTACCAAATAAAAAAAAAAAGTCTCTAGTTCTTAAAAAAGATAATCATAAAAAAAATGAAGTTTCAAGTAGATATTATCACTAGTCACCAGAGGCATCAAAACCACACCCACCCCATCTTGATAGCAATGTCAGAGAGAACATACATTTTCTCTTCTGGATCAGGAAGGGCAATATGCTCCAGGCTTTGCTGCAATTCCAATCGGTATTGTGCATTCCCAAACATGTAACCAGTCATCATAACACTATACATGAGTTGTGCCAGGTTCTCCGCTACCTGATACCAGAACAAGGTGCACATTAAAATCGACAAGAAAAAAACAAAGTCATGACTGCAGAGTACTATTGAGATTATAAATATAATACAAATGCCATACTATTCATGCACTCATGTCTTTGTTACCAAAATGGATAAAAGATATTACAACAGGTAACATCCCGTAGTAACTGTCATTGCAAAGAATTGATGTGGAAGTGTTCCAATCACATTTGTCACAGTTTGACGCATGGCATCAACAACCTCAAGAGTAAAATTAGAAAAAAAAATTAGTGTAACAATATGAGACCATGTAATATTCAATTTTCTAAAAATAAAGGGCCTATATGTAATTATAGATTTGTGAAGGAATAAAAGGTAAAACTATCATTTTTGACATGTTTATATGCTGTAACCAACTTACCCTCCATTTGTTATGTTGTTATTTTGAAATTAAAAATTTTATAAAATTATATGACAATAGATAATGATTGTTAATCATATTCTTATATGATTAACTTAAAATTTTGATATTAACCAATCGTTATTATATTTATTAAATACTGATAAATCTTATTTAATAATTTTTCATTATTATCTGAATTATGAACTTTCTATATTGGAATCGGTGTATTAAAGTATTGCATATGTGCCCACATGATTACCGATATATACTATGAACATTGATCTTTACTATTAAGCAAGTAGGTCAGTTCCCTTGAGAGATTTAGCAGACCATCAAACGTTAAGCAAGTAGGTCAGTTCCCTTAAGAGATTTAGCAGACCATCAAACGTGACAGCTAATGGTCTCCCGCTCGAGATAGGGGAGACATGTCTCCACTTGTGGCTAAGAGGCACCACTCCAATGGGAGTGTTGTATGGACCCTTTTCGTTGTTGTTGAAAAGCTATCCATCCCGAGAGTTCGGGTGTTCTAATGAGCCATCGATTAACATGTAATATGTTGGCACTTGATAATTATCAATGTTGCAAGTTATTATTATTTTATTATTTCTTAATGATTGACTGGTTTAATCCTTTGATTTATTATTCATTTAGTACACCGGTTGTCACTGTTCTTATATTTTATGCCTACTCAGCAATTCAATTGTTGCTGAGTTATGTTATTTTTTTAAATATTTCAGAGCCTTAAGTTCCTAAAGGATTTCAAGAAAATAAGGAGATACTCTGCTCTTACAAATAGATAGAATTTTGCTTTATATGTATATAACAGAAACAATATAACCTTTTGATGTAATATATTTAATGTATGCGACTGTCATACTGGTTTGTTGTCACAATCGGTGCATTTCTGGTGACAGATGCACTTGGGATGTGACACTTCAAATACGCATAAATTCTTATTTTAAATTCTGCTTATCATAAAAGTCGAAATGAAATATAGGCACCAACCAAAATCTTTCAGAACAAGTTACACATGAATCTGATGGTTTCCTATTTTATCTTAAAAGAAATTTCATAGTTCCAAAATATAGGATGAAAAGTTATCTGTTGTGGTGACCTTTTCATGAATAACTCCATAAAATATGGCTGAACATTTCTTACATATTCCAAAAGAATATCTCTCCTATTCTTGCGCTGAGAATATTAAAAAACCAGAAATAAGCAAGCTACCCTTGTTCTGAAATATATCCACATGATCACACTCCAACATCATAATTAATACACCATCATATAAAGAAACATGTGTCTAACAACATAGTCTTTGGATCAAGGTATACAATTTCGAATAATATCGCCCGATACGGGCGGTATGTACCGGTACACGGACCGTCCGTTACCGGACGAAACGAAATATATATATATATATATATATATATAT